ACTAATTTACTTGTGTCAAAAATGTTGACCTACCAACTAGTCGTGTTTTCCACCCAAAATTACTAAAATTCTTTTTCTTTTCTTCATTATTTGTTAAAGAAATAGTAGTCCCAGTCTCTAATTTTAATGAAATATTAAATTTTTAAATGGAGGATAAATCTTCAACCAGGTTCGAATCCCAGCGATGGCTGGTCGTTACGAATTCCTCCCCCAGCTCGCACCGACCACAGCGTTGACGTAAAATATCCTCGGTGGTAAACGGATCGTGGGCTAGAGTTCTCTTATCGTCAGGCTAACCGTGAGAGGTTTCCGTAGTTTTCCTCTCCATGTAGCGCAAATGTGAGTTAGTTCCATCAAAAAGTCTTCCACGAAGGCAAATTTCTCCCAATCAAGGAGTTCCCTTGTCTTCTGGATTACGTTCAAAATGACAAGGCTACGGAGTTGTTCATTAGTAGACTTAAACCCAAAAAAAGTGGGTCGGCTGTTCAACGACGGTTATAATATAACATAAAAAGAAACGAAGTCTCGAAATTTTTTCTTTTCACGCCTTCCAGAGATAAATACTCAAACTCGAATTTTGCATGTCGTAATAACATCGTAAAATTAACATTAAAATTTGAAAAAAAATGGATAAAATAATAATCAGTTTTATCCACAGTTGTTTTAATAAGTTGGTGAATGCAAATCATTGTTATAAAAAATATAAATGACCGAAAAACACGATCGGAATACGGTAAGGATTTATGACGGAATCTGTTACGAACTTAGGAATTCGTATGTCCTAATAACATCGTATTAAAATCATCAACATTTGCAAAGTTATGTGGAAATAGCCAAAAAAAAAAAAAAAAAAACGATTCGTCACTAATCAAGTGCGTTAAAAATTGAATACTAAAATGTGCGTATTGTAATAACGTATAACAAATTACGGAATTCGAAAGAAAAAAACATGCTCTAAGTGGGAGGTATAGTCAGTGTAGAATGCATTTTATTACTCTATCAAGGGTTTGGTAAAAGAGCGGCAATTATTTTAGTTTTCTAAACACTTGTTTTATTTTTTTAATGCTGTGCTCTTCTTCTCTTTCTCGTATTTTAGTTTTAAATTTTTTTTAAATAAATTGAAAGTTGTCACGTGTGGAAAAAATTTAAACGAAACACAAGTGTTTTTCTCGGGGAGTGGGGAGTTTTCTATTTCAATTTGGAAAATAGCTAGCAAATTGGAAAAGAAAGTTGTTTCTTCTTCTGAAATTACCAATTATATTTTACTTTATTGCAGCGAATGTCAAACATTCAGAAGGGTATTTAGAATATTATCTTCCATCTCCAAGGCCGGATTAACCATTAAGCATACTAATCATGTGCTTAGGGGGACACCACAAGAAGCCAATGAAAAAATATATATTTCTAGAAATCTTCTTTACAAATTTTTTTCGGTTACAAGCTCTAACACAAGATCATGGTTTAAACTAAATTGCTATTGATGTCAATTTAGTTCAATCGAAGGAGATCTTTTCCTCCTGCTTCTGAGTTGAGTTGTTTCCCTTCTGCTGTTGAGTTGCTTCCCTCCTGTTGCTGAGTTGATTTGTTTCTCCCCTGCTACTAACTTGAGTTGTTTCCTTCCTGCTGCTGGGTTGTCATGATTAACTACCATTCCTGAGTTGAGTTGTTTTCTTTCTGATGGTGAGTTGAGTTGTTTTTCTGCTACTGCCTAGTTGAGTTGAGTTGTTTCCCTCTTACTGCCAAGTTGAGTTGAGTTGTTTGCCTCATGTTGTTGAGTTGAGTTGTTTCTCTCCTGCTGCTGAGGTGAGTAGAGTTGTTTTCCTGGTGCTGCCAAGTTAATTGAGTTGTTTTCATCCTTCTACCAAGTTGAGTTGAGTTGTTTACCACCTGCTGCTGAACTGAGTTGAGTTGTTTCTCTCCTGATGCCAGGTTGAGTTGTTTTCCTGCTACTGCCAAGCTGAGTTGAGCTGTTTCTCTCCTGCTGCTGAGTTGAGTTGTTTTCATCCCTCTGCCGAGTTGAGTTGAGTTGTTTGCCTCCTATTGCTGAGTTGAGCTGTTTCTCTCCTGCTGCTGAGTTGAGCTGTGTCTATCCTGCTGCCAAGTTGAGTTGTATCTCTCCAGCTGCCGAGTTGAGTTGTTTCTCTCCTGCTGCCAAGTTTAGTTGAGTTGAGTTGTTTCTCTCCAGCTGCTGAGTTGAGTTGTTTCTCTCCTGCTGCCAAGATGAGTTGAGTTTGTCTCCTGCTGCTAATTTGAGTTGTTTCTCTCCTGCTGCTGAGTTGAGTTGTTTTCCTCCTGCTTCTGAGTTGAGTTGTTTACCTCATGTTGCTGAGTTGTGTTGAGTTGTTTGCCTCCTGTTTCTGAGTTCAGTCGTTTCTCTCCTGCTGCCAAGTTAAGCTGAGTTATTTGGATCCTGCTGCTGTGTTGAGTTGCTTTCCTGCTACTGCAAGGTTGAGTTGAGTTGTTTCTATCCTGCTGCTGAGTTAAATCCTCCTGCTGCATATTTTTTAAATAATCACTTTTTGCGTAATAATTTTTACGTTATCATTTATTGCGTAATCATTTTTACGTAATCGAATTTTCCGTAATCATTTTTACGTAATCGCTTTTTGCGTAAACATTTTTACGTAATCGCTTTTTGCGTAAATATTTTTTAAAGTATCATTTTCTCTTGGTTTTTGTAATCATTTTTAGAGATTCTTCGAAGTCTTTACGACTGCCGTAGAAAACAAAATAAAAAGAAATAAAACTGATAGTTTTCTTTTCTTCCTTCTCTGACTATTTGGAAATTTACAATAAAATTAGTGTTCAATACAAGCATATTTGTGTGATATAAAGCAATCGCTCGATCAGTCTGCTTTAACAAAACTCTTTTTCTATTATTCACTAATTTTCAAAAAAAGAGAAATCAAAATGAAATAACATATAAAGATTCAATTATAAAGTTTACTTATAATTGAATCTTCTTAATTGGGAACTTTAACAACATATAAATTTTAAAACGCCCAGTGGCTGAGTGGTGGAGCTTCGCGCTCCCGTGCCACAGGTCCTGGGTTCGATCCTCGGACCCGGCAAGTTTGCCTCAGCCTTTCATCCCTTCAGTGGGTCGATAAATGAGTACGAAGCGTGCTTGGGAACTAAACACTGGGGGTTCCACGTTCGGCTGACCACCTGACCGGAACATATGCTCCTGCACCCCAGTGCCCAAGGTCAAGATGGCCGCAGTAGGCCTTGGCCCTCTATGGGCTGTCGCTCCACTGAGTTTGAGATTTTCAACAGAATGTTTTTGATTGTGATTGTAATTGAGTGTAATTAATAATTGATTGAAATAAATATTTATTTTGCATTATAATGTAATAAACGCTACGTTTTTCAAGTTATCGAAAAAAAAAGGAAAAATTCGATTTTGGCACTTCTAAAACAAAAAACGTTGGACGCATCATTTTCTAAAGACGGAGAGGGGGAGCGTAGCTGGTGATAGGGAAAAAAGGAGAAAAAAACATGCTTTTTAGAACACGTTTTATTTTCTTCTTTCTAGTGCATGTTTTTTAGCCTTTAGGCTAAGAAACGATCAGAAATTAAATTGATGAAATCATCGCGAATCAAGAAGTGATTACTCAAATTTTTTGAGTCATAATACCGTCATATTAAAAAAACATTAAAATTTTGGAAAGCATGTGTAAATGGCTAAAAAAAGAAGATCGTTAGCGTTACAAAATTGGAAAACAAGGCAATACTTGGCGACAAAACAGTCGAAGTGATAGGACTAATATTTACAGAGTTACACGAGAATTGTCTAGAACCGTATTGAATGTTCCAGGTTCAACAGTTGTCCTATCTTGATTTTTTGGATCGGAACCAATCGACTGCCCTTTTGAAGTACGGCAAGATTTTACTCGCCAACACTTCATAGACAGTGTGTAAGACAGAAAAGGCTCTTTGACTGGCCGATCTAAGGGATTCCCTCTCGTCTACACACACAAGATTGAGGCAACTCACGGAAGGACTCAGTCAGACGCAGATTCGAACGCTGACTTAAAGAAACTATTGGAAAAAATCTTATGAGAGATCCGCCGTTCAAGAGAAAGCACGACGTTCAGAAATAATTTGTTGGAGCTGTGTTAAGGATGGGCATGTACCCCAAGTCAAAGTGCTACAGATTTCGTCTTCGAGTGGCGATAGGAGACTTCCAAGGTTCGAAGCAGTGATAGTGATAAAAAAAATTCATCTTCAACTGATCAATAAAGAGAAATTCCTAAAATAACCACATTTTGCATCATCTCATTTGACATCCTACATCACATTGATTATCCTACGGTCAGTGTGCGGGTGGGTGACCACTTCGCCAATGGATGGGTGGTCTAATGTAAACAATAACAAGCGTCCTTAAACCGGACGAAATTTAGAAAATTTCCGGTGTATCCCTCCGCTTATGTTATGACTACGAGGCGATGTGTGAACAAGCCTAATATTCTATGCAGTTTTGTTATTGTAATTTGGGTTCAAATCTAAACATAATTGTACCATTCATAAGAGCTTTGAGAAATGTATTGATTCTCAGAGATCGTAAGGCCAAAAAAATTTTGGAAAGTTAATATCTCATTGTGAATAATTCTTAAGATTTGCCATGTTTTGCATTTTATCCCTTATTTGGCTACATTTGAATAAAATGTCGCCAAAAATATCTTTTTAAGTTAGCCTAATTAGAAAATATTCTAGAGATTATAATATTAATATGATAATGCTGAAGTTTAAAGGCTGAAAGAAAGAACTCGGTACATGTGAAATACTGCAAAAGATATGATGCAATAATATGATGGCGCATTTTTTCAATCTGCGGCGTAAAAATATATCGGAAGCAGTAACCCGGAAGTCTCGAAAGAGCAATTTTACAACTAGCGCCACCACTCTTAACTTTACACGATCACCCATCCATAGCCCATTGTGCAGCTCTAGTGCGACGTAAATGAGCTACAACGACTACTGCATCAGCGATCAAAATTTTTAACCAATCAAATTTTTTTGTGATATTACGAACGATGAATTCCGCAACGGGTTTAAACTTTCAAGTTTCTCCTCTACGCCTCAGGACAAAACTCTCGTCATTTGTAAACAAGTTTCGTGTTGGGGGGAAGATGCTGCACGAGTATTTACTTTTATTTTAAATCATTTCGAATTTAAGGATTCTAAATTTTTATCTTAGCTTATAAATAGATTCTTAGTAATGTAAATTGAAATAAAAGCCCAAAATAAATCATTTGACTTTTCTTAAAACTCAGGTATATTGTTGACTTCCCTAACCTTGTTTTGTAGTCTGTACTCTACTGCTGTAACCACTTCCTGGTATGTAATCGTATATATTTTATCTCTTAAAATAAACGTGACATTACTTTACGCAAGAGTCGTGATATGTATATATATATTTGAACTGATTAATATTATTTTTTGTTTCGTTTTTCGTATTCCTTGAATTGTAATTCGATAATGATGACGCAGTTAGTCATTTTTAGTAACTCTAGCAATTCTAGTGATTAGATGAGCTTAATTTGCATTGTAATTGTGATGTTCCTTTATTAATTTGCACTTCGTTTCTCCACAACTATTTGCTAAGTAAGCTTTTTTTTTCATCTTGTTTGTCAAATATATTTTATTATCCTAAAACGTATATTTTGTTTTTTGAATTCGTATGCTGCCGATTTTATCTTGAAATTTACGTGATACCTAGTGCTATAAATTTTAGAAACCTTAACTTGTGGGTTAATTAATGTCTAAGCCATTCAATGTCAAAATGGGAATATTTATTTCTATATCAATATATGTTCATTCCAATAAGTCTGAAAAAAGTGAAACTTGAGGGAATAATAATTATCGACTATGTAAACTTTCATCTATCAAAAGATACCTCATGATAGAATCAAGTTAACATGTCTTATATGTTAGTGGGTTGGCATTTAGTATTTATAGTGGTAGTTACACCACAAACTGTACCACAAATAAATTTTTTTGTTGCACTATCATAAAGAGTACCCAAGCGTAAACGATAAAAAATTTTAATGCTTTTAGTCACTATTTACACATGTGAAGCTGCGTTCTCAGCCTTCGTGTTCTTAAAAAAATAAGTATCGAAACAAATTGGATGCCAAACCTAATTTAAGAATAAAATCAGCATAATTACCTCCAAATTTCAAATTGTTATGCTATAGCAAACAAAACCATCCGTCGCACTTAAGACAAAATATGTGGTTACAAGTTTACTTCATTTACTAAAGTTTTATTAAATATAATTTTAAAATTTTTAATAACTTATATTTTTTGTATAATTATTTTGCATTTGTTGTGTATGAAATCATCAAACAAATAACTTGATTTTTATTAATATTAAATTTGTTTTGTAAATGATTTTTTTTCATAAGGTGGATCGTGAAAATTTTTAGGTGAGGTTTTGTCAAAAAAGTTTGATAAATGCTGTTCTGTAGACTTTTTCATTTAATTTTCTTTTTTATTTATTTATCAATGATGATTGAACTATTCTCTCAAACTGAGAAAAATTTCGGGGATATTTCCGGATCTGTTTCGCCAACTGCAATCGCCAAGGTGCCAAATGGGTTTTAAATTTGCCCTTTTTTTAAAATAAAAACATGTACAGTTTGCCCAGGGTGTTGGCTACGAGATATACCTATCGAGTTGGTTCCTTTCTGTGATGTTTTTTTTTTTTTAGTTTCTTGCGGGCCACTGCCCGGAAGTTAGCAAGACTTGGCAATTATTCTGCCACAGATCATGATACGGAAATCTCCCCAAAATTTCTTACTTACAATAAATATTTAACATGTGATTAGCTAATCATTAACTTTTTAAGGAAGTAAAGTTTATTCTGAAAAATATTTAAAGGGTTCACTTCACTATGAAATAGTTTTATTTTTTATTTGAATTATTATATAAATGAAAGATATCTATATATTATAGCTTAATTTGAAATTAATGCTTCATTTATATTTTAAACATGATTTTAAATTTTTATGTTAGCATATCAAGTTTTTTTTTTTTTTTTTTAATAACTGTAGTGATATGTATTACTGTTGCAAGGTGACAGATTTATGTTATGTTAAATAAATTTGGCATATTTTATTAGCCAAAAATAAAGCCATTTCTGTTCTTATTACAAATAAGTTTGATTATTATTTTTTATTTTTTTCCTTTAGGAAAACATTCAGAATGTTATGTTGCAACCCATCAGACTGCTTTCTATCCAGAGATTTAAATCCAGAAATCAATAAAGCCTCAAAGCATATTTCTTTTAAAAGTCCATCAAGAGACTCAGATGTTGTGGATAATCCAAAAGGATGGAAAAACTTGAATATTAGTTCTGAAAACAAAACACTATTTGAAACAATGAAAAGCGAGAAAAACAGATGGGATTCGTTTGATCGAAAATGGCCATTACCTTTTATTAACGTCGGTGAGCTGGTTGCATCTGGGTTCTTTTATTTACAGTCGGACGATAAAGTCCAATGCGCGTTTTGTAAACTAATATTATGCAGCTGGAAACCAGGAGACAAACCATTAAAAGAACATATTAAATCAGTCCCAAAATGCCCTCTACTCACAAGATCTGAAGGTGCATCGCCGAGTGTCAAGTCATTTTTTCCGTATTCGACCGAGTCGTCCGTATTGCATTCTGTTTCCAACAAGCCGAAAAACCCTCGGATGATAGATTTGAAGGAGAGATTATCGACGTTTAGGAATTGGCCTCATTCTACAATAAAAATTCTTGATCTTGCTGAATGTGGATTGTATTATACGGGTAAGAAGGATATATTCAAAAACAGAAGTGTAAAATATTGGTATAGGTTCAGTGGTAATATGCTTTTAAGACTTCCAAAAGTAGATGTTTAACATATTTATTTTATTAATAATTTTGAATTAATTCAAAAAAGTTTATTTTTTTAATTAATGGAAAAATTCCATTCAACTCTTTAGTCAAAAAGCACTGTTAATTGTACCACTGTAATATAGGGATTCAAAAACCACTGTATTTCAAATCCCTATTTTATTATAGTTTGTATATTTCAGTATGTTATTGCAGCCTGAAAAATGCCAAAACTGGAAGAAAACACAAATTTTTAAACTGTTTGCTGTTTTTATTTTATTTTAAATATTTTTTGTAGTGTGGGAAAAACCAAAAAATAAAGTTTCCTATTTAAAACTCACATAAAATCTATAATAATTCGAGAAATTGAAATAATATCGGAAGTATAATATCCAATAAATATTAAATCTTATTTTGTGCTATAATTGTCTTATTTTTTAAATTGTTGTTTAAGTGTTATAAGTTTTTTTTAAATTATAATATGATTTTTTAAATTTTTTTTTTACTCTTTCAGTGCAGTTTGAGCCTTAGTTTTTTTTTTTTCTCATTCGAATTTATTCCACCCCTCTAATTTTTATGTCCTTTTTTTGATGGACCATTTATTGATAAAGAAAGAAAAATTTTCTTAGAAAAATCAGTTTTTTCAATTTTGAATAAATTCTAATAATTAAAATGTGTAAATTTTTTTCAAACTTTTTACTAATTTTTTTGGTAAAAAAAAAATTGTCACTTTTTTTTTTTTTTTAAATTGAGTCACCTTTTTGGATGAATTAAGTTTGAAGTTTCCTTTGTTCCCCACTTTGGAATAGGTAAAATAAATTTAACAAACTTATTAAACTCAGTTTGCTGTGATGAGCAGCAGTAAAATGAGTTTTATCTGTAACTCTTTGCTTACTCTTTCTTGTAACTCTTGTAAAGAAAGAGTTACTGATTAAATTCAGTTTGCTGCTGCTACTCATAGCAGAAAACTGAGTTTTCAGCAATTCTTTGCTTACTCTTACTCTTTCTTGTAACTCTTCTTGTAAAGAAAGAGTTACTGGTTAAACTCAGTTTGCTGCTGCTCATAGCAGCAAACTGAGCTTTCAGTAACTCTTTCTTTACAATGCTTAACATAATGAAGCTTGTTAGTTTGGTCCAATATACCAGCTGTGAGCAAAAGGTTAAAATGTCTAGCTTTACAATCATGCCGAATTATGCATTTTTTTTCTTTAAAGGTGTCCAAGATGCAGTGACTTGCTTCTACTGTGGTGGTAGTCTTTCTAATTGGGAACCATTTGATGAACCAATTTTGGAACATGCAAAATTTTATCCCAAGTGTAACTATTTAAGAATGATTCGAAACCGCCCTGCTTATAAAAGGCTGAAATCTGTTGGACCCAATGTAAGTTTGATGAGAAAGTAAATGAAAATTTGTAACTTTTTTTAAAGTGTTTTGTTTATTTTTTTAGATACCTGTTGATCAAGTGTTATTAAATGTGAATTAATTTAGTAAGAAATTTTTTTCTTCTCATTACCTACTGTTAAACCATTGATGTCTAATTAAGTGATATTAAAATCCCTAAAATATGTGTTGAGAATTTTATAATTTTTCTCTCTATATATTAACCCCTTGCCAGGGTCGACCCAATCCAGTTCGGGCAACTACAACGTGCAGTATTTGTGATGCCATAACTGACAGCGAGCAAGAGAAAAATTTACGTTTCTATTTTTTGAAACCCTAGCTGAGTTTGTTTCTACTTTAGGATAATTTATTCACTATTTTCCTGATAAGATGAGTTCTAGTTTTTCACCAATTACGACTTCAGTCAAGGGAGGGAAATGTGGGTGGGGGTTTTGGGATACACTATATTGTAAAAGATTTTAAAATGTATGTATTGAAAATCATATTGTTGTGCTTTTATATTATATTATGCTAGTTATATTATATTTAGCTTCAAAATTTTGTTTAATTTGCTCTAATTGAATAAGATGTGTGTGTAATCCATTACTTTTTTGTGTGTATGTAAAAATTATAAATACGGTAGTTGTTGCATTTAAAAAAAATTTTTTTTTAATAAAAAACCATTTTCTAACTTTTATAATAATATAAAGAACAAAGTTAAACAGTCAAAATTCATTTTTCTGAAATATATGTCACTGTTAAGGGTTTAAATAACACACTGTTGGGGGAGTATTAAAAATTAGTAGTTTGAAACACATATGCAGCAAAACTTAAATTTACAAAGGTGTGTGGAAAATTGTGCAGGGGAGTACAAAGAAATATTAAGTTTTAACATTCTGTAATTAGTTCGAGAATTGATCATCGTTGAACTTGTAATAAAAAATACCATGCAAGTCAGTCTAGTCTGTTGTAGAAAGTAGTATTTTTATTTTCATTTATTTCTTTGCATTTTTATTCGTTAATAACTTTGGAAGCGATTTGCAATCTGTTTAATCATCGAATTAAGAAGGGATTGAAAACATAACTTAATATTTGATGAATTCACTATCAGAGAATATCTTAGGGAAATAAAATAAAAATTGTGTCTTAATTTTTTTTCTTCCATGTGTTTTAAACAATGCTTTATTGAACATTGGTGTTTGCCAGGAATTTTTTTACTGGTTTCAGGGGTTAGAACTGCTTTAGCTGCAATTTGAACCTTTCTTTATGCAGAGTAGAATGGTATCTAATGATAAGTTAACACTTTTGGTTCAACTTAAAATCATATCTTCAAAGAGTAGTTTTTGAAGTATATTTTCGTCATATTAGTCGAGAGTTCTTCAGTTAAATGTATTCCATACATTCTTTTCCTATTGGTATAATAAGAACAGAAATGAGTTCAGGATATTCAAGTTTCTCCAAATCTTTATTCTATTGGCTTATTGAATCTTACTTTCTTGTTCAACTTCTTCAGAGGACTTCACTTTTATTTGCTCTGGAATTTGATTTTTCACTTCATTTGCTATAATCTTCTTTCAATGCGTTGCAGCCTGTTACAGGCTAAGACTATCCCAAGTAGTGTTTGCCGTTTGATTCTATCTGCAGCAAGACTCTAACTCTTCCAGTTTTCCCTATTTACTACATGAAAACTGTGGATTCTCTGGATGCTGGTTTTTAATTTAATGAGATACACTTACTCGATGAACTCTCGACTAGTGTGACCTTTGATGTTAAATTTGAACTCTATTACTGAGTAACACAAGGAAAAGTGTAACACCTTCCTGAAAGCCATCTCCTTATCCGAAAAATCTCTTTTTCAATAATTAAAACCTCAATGAAAGATAAATAATATTGATAATAAATGAATGCATACCAGAAGTATATACGCTTCTGAGACTTGGACAGGGAAAATGCTGGAGGAAAGTTGTATTGCAATGTTTGAAAGAAAGAATTTGTGGAATATACTTGGTAGTGTGAATGAAAACAATAACTGGAGAAAGAGATTTAACTTTGAACTGTGCAAGATTTATAAACAACCTGATATTATTAAATACATAAAAATAAATAGAATGAATTGGATGGTTTTTCGTTGTAAAACACCCGAGAAAAACTAACAAATTTTATCATAATTCTAAAATTCAAATAAAATAAAATAATGAAGGAAACAGAATCTCAAATTAAAGGCAAAAAATGCTTCTTATTGTAAATTTTACATTAAAAAATATTATTCAGACTGAAAAATTTAAATTCGTCGCTAAATTGAAACTCTAAATCAATATTCCATTCATTGGCAGGTAAGATATTTAAGGGATTCTTTTTTCAAATTCTAATTTGTTTGAAAACTATTGGAATTTTAAGACATTGTCTCCGGAATTTTTTACAGTTATTTTGCTTTAAATTTTTGATAAATCGTTACTGTTCTAGAAAATTAAAATTTTCTCCCTTGAGATCTTCATTTTGTGAGCTTGCGATTGAATTGATTACAAGAGTATCAGCGGGAATACATGCCTGCCAAGTCTTCTTGTTTTTTAATGAATTCTCCTTTTTCTTAACGAATTCTCTTGACTATCTCCTGTCTACCTGTATATTCTCTAATTTCTCTGAATTCGTTTTAAATTTGAAGAAATTTAAAACGAAAAAATGGCGATAAAATATCCATTGATGGTAAAAATAATTCTTATTCCTCAACAGATGGTGCTATTGCCAGTACTGGAATATTTTTATTCCATACTTTTCTGAATCATATTACTTCAAACATTAGAATATGCAAGAAGTAAACGTAAACACATAATGTTAAACCATTTAATTTTTCAAAAAAAGTATTTTGACAACACTGGGTTTATGATTAAAGTAATTATAAATAATGATTTAAAAAACCTTCTTTAGATTAAGATTTAAGTACATATTTTTTTCTGTGCTAAATGTAAGTGCTTATATACTCGTATAGTAAAATCTCCGTTATTTTATTTCTCCAATGTTAGCAGGTATGAACATGGAACCGCAAAGCGACGTGTTAATGTGAATGTACTTGGTGTAAAATAAATTCATTTTGCAGCATGTAAACCTTAGTTTTGTTTATCTTTCAGACTGGTGGAAATTTTTTGTCAGACCAGCTTCCAGCAAACGAAGTTTTAAAATCCGATATTGTCCAAAAGGCGAAAGAAATTTTCCCTTCATCAATGGTTGAAGATGTGGTTGTTCAATCCCTTCAGAGGGGAGAAATCTTTTCATCACTTCATCGTCTTTGTGAAAAACTTTTAGAACAAGATACAAGGTATGTTTTGTTTTCAATGCATCCCATTTTTATAATGTGTTAAGCCAGGAATGCACAAAGTAATCCCTGAAGTCTTTTAACTTAATCATTGAGCTGTCAAAAATATTAATAAAAATACAAAAATAATGTAATAGTTTGACGACTGTGATTTGAACTCTAAGGTAATGATTTATTTTGGTCTTTCACCTCGGTGTTAGCAGTAAAAATTAATTACTTATGAATTGTTATAAATAAATGGGAGGAGCCCATGCCCTAGAGGGCGAAGACTCCCCGTGTAGTAAATGGTGACTGATGCACGTTGAATCTGTCAAGTCACAAAGTCCTCCATGTTCCCATAATGAATCATACCTCTGGGGGTACTGATCCAGGAGTTTCCTTGTCTTCTGGATTGGGTTCAAAATTACAAGGCTACGGAGTTGAACATCAGTAGTCAGAAACCTAAAGTTGGGTCGGCTGTTCATCGACTGTTATAAAAATAAAATAAATTTGAGGAATTCCTTATTCAAAAGTTCATATTGAAGGATATGATTTTAAGATTTTCAATCCTGTTAGTCAGATGCTATAACAGGAATATTAATAAATTTTGTTTTCTAACTAACTAATAGTAAAAGTTAACTTTAGAGGTAAATGAAATTTTTTTAAATTTCTTTCTATTTTTCATAGCTTTTGTTTTTTTTCATTCTTTCGACTATATTTAGAGAAATTTAGATTAAATATATTTATTTCATTTATATTATATTTATTATGTGAAATTTTGCTTGTGTAATTCCTATTAGTATTCTTTAACTAGAATCTTAATACTCCCTGAATATTTACGATTGCAGACTCATGTTATTGTTGACCCTTAACATGATGCTGCATCCCTATGTTAAGCAAATTTTTAATCTGACGGAGTTTTGTATAAAAAAAAATAACCATAAATACAATCAAATAAAGAATTAATGTTAAAATATCCTTACTAATACAGTCTGATCTCTATTTAACGAAGTCGCTAAACCCCAATAATAAGTTCGTTATATGGAAAATTGGTTACCTAGAAAATCACCTTTTGAAATACTTAAATGATGCAAAACACTAGACATAATTAAAATTGCAATTGATACACTTTTATCTTGTAATCTAGTATCTACTATTTTATAAATCTTAGCCATGAAAGAAATCTGCATGGAAAGCAAGAATAGAGCAGAACATTATCCAGTGTTACCCTATCATGCTACATACATTTTCAACTCGAAAAAGCTAAATTAATGTATAAAATTATAGCTGCAATTATAATAATGGTAATTTTAAACATGCATTACCACATGCATTCTCAAATTTAATTGCTAGTGAGGAAATCTGTTTTGTCCGAGTTTTTCGTTTGAAATGCAAACAAAAAGGGAAAGGATTTTTACTGCCATCTCTGAAAGTTAAGCGGCTGTGAAAATCAATTCAAGGTCATTTCCCCCATAAAATGCATTAACAAGTTTGAAATGTTCTTAAATATTTTGGGAAAGGGGATTTTAAAGAAAAGTTAGTTCACTTTGCTATTCGAAAGTCATTTTAAAAAGAAATTTCCAAAATGTTCTTGGTTCCTCGAAAGAAATCGATATGTAGAGAATTCACAAAATCTAAGTTCGTTAAAGAGAAGTACGACTGTATTTGAATTTGCCATATTCCGGGTCAGGCGTGAGTCACTTTTCTCACTTAATGTCACTATCTTAAGAAATAGTAACTTTTATTCATTGTTTTTAAGGCTTAGTCACTTATCTCACGTTTTTAAAATTTTAATTTCACAATTTCCCTTCCATTTCAATCAAAAGAAAGATTTTCTCATTTCCTTAAACCCATACTTTACAATCTAGTAAAGAAGGACTAGCTATCTAGTAGAGCTAGGAAGAAGCTCTAGTAAAGGAGGACTCACCCAAATGGGTGGGGCTTAGAAGAGGGTTGAATATATGAATAAAATAGACAATTTGCACTTTCAAATGAATTTCTCTTGAAATGCTAGAAAGCCATTCACTGTACTGAGGAATGAGTTTATTTATCATCCATCTTAACTTTTATCTGCTGTGGAGCTGCAGGACATGAAATTCTGTGCATTTCTCCTTGAATTGAATTTCCTTTTTCGGTAGGGTTCATATGTACCTTAAATGTGCTTAATAGAGCATAATTTTGCATCATAGAAATTAAACACTCTTTAAAAGTTCTTATTTTAAATTTAAAGTTCTTAAAAGTTCTTAATTTTTCTTCGAAAGAATAAACATAAATAAAATGTTTACTTTTATGTTATATTTTTTATTATTATTTTTTTCTCTTTCTAAAAATTTGATTCTTTTTTAACAAGATGNTGTTTTTTTGTATTTATTTATTTTGCTTTAAATGTATGTATGTATGTATCAAAGCAAACACTTTCAAGTCCATTTTACTGCATTCTGAAGTAAGGGGTGTAGTTCTATTTATAGCAGCGCAATGCAAAGCATCGTACTTCAGGAAAGCGTATATATACGCCTGCGGCAGTTAACGCATCGTCTGGCCGAGACGTATATATACGCCCGCGGCAGTTAAGGGGTTAATAAGATGTTATTTTGTCATGTAATTTCACACTGTTGGATGTTTTTTTATTACTTTAGTGGTCAGCAGTTAATAAGAATTTTTTCACTCCTTTCTATGTGGTTTTTCAAATTGTGCTGTTTTTTATTCAATATTATGACACATAAACTTTAAATTTAAAAATTTCAAATTTATTCACTGTAAATTAACTTGGTTTTATAAGCGTTTTATCCGTCAAATGATTGACAAAGTTCTGCTAATTGTTTTTTCTCATGATTTTTTATATCTCCAAATTTGAATTAATATGTTTATTAAGTTATGTGTATTTCAGTAACAACTATTTTCTAATGATTTATTCGAAAATGGTTGTTGGACGTATTTGATTTCATTGTGATTTCTTATAGTTTTATTTCCAGTGTTTACCTTAGGCACTCATGCGAATTTTTATAATTTTTTCAGCCCTTTCCTCATGGTTTTTTAATACAATGTTATTACTACTTGTCTTTTTCACCTTAAAGTTAACTTTTTGTTGCACACTTGATTCAGGGTGAATACATTGTAAATTAATGTTTTCTGACAATTTTTGCTGCATTTATATAATTTCCTATTAATATGATTTTATATTTTTGATTGATGTGATGTTGTAACGACTCTCCAATTTCAGGTTTCAGCAACAACAATTCGTTAATGATTTGTTAAAAAATCAATTTTAATGTGCTTGGTTCTATCATAATTGCACCTTTTCCCCCTGAGAGTTTTTTTCAACCATTTATATATTTTTTTATTATATTTTTTATGCAATGTTATTACATATGCATACTTCAACTTTAACCCCTTTAGGACTATTACGTGTCCAATTTTGCACATATTTTCATTTTTGATACTTTTTATAGAATATTGTTATTTTTTATTTCATTAATTACTTTTTGTCACATTCATTTTGCACCATTTCTATTGTAAAAGTAAAATTTTTTTTTGCAGTAATAGTTATTTAACATTTTTTTAGTTCTTCACATCGTGTTTAAAAACGCATTGTTTTTTGACTCCTGAAGAGAAGCACATCTCATAAAATGTGTATTGACTTTACATGATAGTGACAATATTTTTGTTGTATACTTTCACTTCTTTAAGCCATAATAGCTAAAGTTAAACATGCAACTTTTTTTTAGTTGGGGGAAAAATTAGAAAATATTTATTATGTAGTTTTTTTTAAAAAAAAATTTCCCTTGCAGTAAATTAAAGCAATAAACAGCTACAACAATAAATGCTTCTTAACCAATTTCTCTTAACCCTTAAGTTGTATGTTTTTAAGCTTATTAGGATGTTGCCTGAATATTAACATTGTTTTTAATTAAGTCCCTATTTATCACTTTTTAAAAAAATTTTCACTTTTTTTCATTACTTTTTCTACTATGATCTGCTCTGAGCCCTGCATACTCCTTCACTACACCACTTTTATCCACTTTCCTCACTTTTCCCATCTCAGTTATCATACTTTTGGCAAAAGTTGCTTTTTTTCTTACAAATGTATTTCAGCTTCTTACTGAAATGTACCGTTATGGGAGAAAAAAAGCAAGATTTTCCAAAACCACTGTAAGTGCCGCAGTGCCTATTCTATTTGGTGAGAGTAAGAAAACTGATGTTATTTGTGGATTATTTAAATATTGATTTAAAATTTCTGAAATATAAGGAATATTTTTTTATCTATTTGTGTAATCCTTGTACGTTCTATAGTTATTATTTTCAGGTTTTATTAAATTACTAAGAATTGTGGATTGAATTTTTTACATTTTTATCAACTGTAAAACCTTAGAAAAGTTAAAAGTTTATTTGTATACATTAGTGGATATTTTTTGAACTGCACTGGTAAAGAGTTTGCATGAATTTGTCAAATGTACTCAAACTTATTATTTTTCATTAATGTTAGCCTAGGCGACTGAATTTACTTTGTTAGAGAATCTGCAATTTTTTCCCTTTTTTTTTCATGCTGTAATAGTATAATTATAACTTCCCCAAATATATTATTTTTTATTTATCCACAAATGCATACACTAACCCTTGCTTCAAAATAACTTGGGCCACCATTGGACCAATATTTACGAATCTTAATTCCATAAGGGTTCAAAAGGGTATTATTTTCTGATATCGGCTCTATATAGAATTGTCCGATTCCTCCACTGTTTTACAGTCACTTTACAACCAACATTGGCCCTGCATAGAATTGTCAGATTCATCCGATATTTTATATTCATTATTCAGCCAATATTGGTTCTTCGGTACATGTTCATATAGGAACCATATTGAGCCAATTTCGAACCTAACTGGGATCAAGATAAAATTGTTGCTGGGGAACTTGTATTGGCAATATGTTGGAGTTGAAAATTAAAAGAAAAAAAAAATTTTTTTTCCTTCTACTTTGTTCAAAATAAATTTGTCTATAAATTGAAAAAAAGAAAATGCAGCCTGAACATATTAAATGAATTCTGTAACAGTGTTGTTCAATATGACAATTCATTTTTATGATTAGTTTATGTGATACTGCTCTTAGCAATAAATTATTTAAAAGACCTCCCCATTTCCATTTGATCTGAAAACTGCTAAAACCTGGAGCAGAAATATCACTTGCGATTTAAAAAATTTCCATACCTTGAAAATTTTTAATTATCAAAAGTGAATTGTAGTTATTATGAATTTGTAAACTTTAGCATAGTCTTAAAAAATACTGGTTTGTCTGTTTTAATGTGAATATTATATTGCTTCTTTAGAATGAACCCAAGGGTATCAAAGGTGGAAGATTTGAATGCAGTTAAGAAACCAGCAAGTACATCAGCATCCAGTAAGTATATTTTAATTGATATTTTTCAGTGAAAAAGAATTGATGCGATAAAGGTTATTAACTTAAATAACAGGAATTTGTCCCCTCATAATATTTACAGGGTTGCCACTTCACAGGGAAAATCTGAAAAAAATAGGGAATATAAAAAAAACAGGGAAAATGCAAAGAATATTGTTTCTTTTCGGCTTTTAAAAAATGGGTAACTTTCACTGCATAATCTATGGGATATTTAACACTGATATTTCTGCTATGCTAAACTATTTCATTTAATATAGCTTTAAGTATGTTTAGCTGTTTCTTTTTCCAAGATTAAAACTAATAAATATAGTTTAGTCCTATATAGCTCACACAAGTGCACAGTAATTGTTGTTTCCTCTTAATATATTTTGTGTAATATGTACAGGAAAAACACAGGCAGATTTGAGTGGCAAATCTGATTTTGTACTTATGGTATATTGATCCCAAAATAACCTGTAGTTTCATGTCTGGCTTCGATTTGATTATGTTTCTTTGAGTGTTTCATGTTAGACCCGTTTAATAATTTGGAAAGTCTTGAGCACCGTTCGAAATGTTATCTAGTTTTTGAAGTATGTTTGAACAATTTCCTTCAGAAATAATCTATGTTTCAGTGTCTGGTGAACGAATGAAGCGATGCAAAAGAAACTGCAAAAGTTGTTCTAGGGATTGGTGAAAATGGTAGAGTTAGCAAGATTTAGGACAGAAAGGATTAATCCAGGGTTTATACCGTCCTGTCCAAAGTCCCTTTGTCCAAAACTGACTTAAACTGTGCAAAACCTATTCACTCAAATTATGTCACAATTTAAATAAAAAATCTTGTGAAAAATGAAATGTTAATATTTGAATAAGAAACAAAATGAAGACGAGTTTTTGATTTATTAAAAAGTTTATTATTATTTTTAATATTGCATTATTTATCCTTATGCAGAAACATAATTTATCAGTATTTAAAGCATGCTTAAAAGATAAGTTATTCACTTTTGTAGCTCGTTGAATTGTGGAGCTTCAAAAGTTTTAAGTCTTTTCATATTATATTATTTTCCATAATTTTTTATTAATATTTGTAATTAGTATGGTGTACAATGGTAACACGTATAGAATTTTTACCTTGTACCAATGTTCAATGTTTTGGACATTTTAAGACAGTAAAACCCAAGAGTCCTGTCCAAAACCCCAACCCTGGAAGATGAGGCCATAAACTATTAGTTATGAATTAAGTTATTTTATTGTGTAATAAGTAATGGATTTTCAGCTGTTCACTATTTCTATCATGGTGAAATGTTATTGTAAAGGACTACCTTTATTTTACACCCACCAATGGGTGTAAAGTAAAGGTGACCTAGATGATCACATTGCTATCTTCAGAATTTTCTTCTGTTGATGATATAACTTCCCTTGGCTGACAACTGATTGCTGTCAGAGTGTTCTATTTTTATCAGAATTATTTATATTATGAATTTCACGCAACTTTTAGTTAATCATATTTAATGTGCATTTGTCTTCTATTACAGAATTCATGTTTTTGTTCACACATAAGGGTCTCAGTTATTATCATAGTCATATAAAAACGTAAAGTTTCTGCTCACACAATCCCAAAGTATCTGCAAGCTCTGAATATTTTTGATAATGGAATAATTTTATTAAATATACCGAAACAGTTAAATATTTAATATTTTTATTTATTCATGACAAAAAATATGCATGCACATTAACATTAAGAACATTAAAGAAATATTAATAGTTATACATAGAACTACATTCATATTAAAATTATCATAACAAGTAGTATTAGTAATTTCGCTTCTAATGAAATTACATTAAAAGATTTCTTAAATCATGATTACGCTGTCTGTATCGTACTTTCTTTCCCCCACTGCTAACTTTTTTTTGTTGCTTGTGGGTAGTTTTTTTATATTACAATAAATATTAAAAAAGTATCTGCACAATTGGAGAACACCAATGTATCCTCGCACAGAGTGCATCGATATTATCTAACTATGGTTATTATGCATGTAATTATTGTGAAAGTACTTCTGTGATGATTGCACTGCTCAGAATATTTTTATAATTGAAGAAACAATCTGTTCCACAAGTATTGTACTTGTGTGTTGAGTAAGCATTTTCCAATTTAGTCATCTAGATATTGTTACATTCCATTTTAGCGATGCAATGATGTAATTAAGTATTTACAAATTATAAAATTTAATTTTATAAAAATGCCTTAAATATTTGTTAAGTAGTTAAAAATTTATTTTGCTTACCTTATTTAATTTCTTTAAATGAACAAATTGAGTCATTTTGTTGATCCCTTTATATTTTTTATACTTAAATTATGCTTACAAGAATGTTGAGTTTACTTTTAAAATCTTCTCTTCTTTAAAAAGAGAAAAATTCATTGCTGGCAATTATGTAATTATCATTTCTTTGGATAACTTGTAATGCATTGGATTTAATTTATGTAATTGCTTCAACAGGGAGCAAAGAGTTTTTAAAAATAGCTTTAACTACAATCTATTTCTGTGTACTGTTGGTCCGTAACCTATGATAGCGCCAATCATTTTACATAGTGGATGAAATTCTTTGCATGTGCGTCTAAAGAGCTGGATTAGGTGAGATTCTTGTACTCTCAGGTGCAACTCTGTTGCATTTTGCAAGACTTTCTCCATTTCAGGCTCCATTTTCCACCCTCTGAAATCGAACCAAAAAATTCTCTCTATTTTTTTTATGGTGGATAATATAATCTAGAAAAGAATTCTTTGTCAGAAACTAGTTATTTTATCATGATCATGTAAAGTCTTTGAAAATTATTTTGCATTTTGTTAATATATAGAGCACTTAAAAATATCTCTTTTGAGTGCTTAGAATGTACTTAAAAAGTGTTTATTTTTTGTTGAGAGATTTGGCTACGCACCCTGTAATTGCTTTAACTTGCTCTTGCATAAGATATTAACTTTTGTTAAAATATCTGTTTCCTAGTTTTTTTTTTTTCACAATTTAAATTATCAGTAATCAAGTGTACGTTATTATTAAGCAAAATAATTTCAGTGTAGAACAGGATGAGTATTTTGTTTGGAACTTCTCATTTTTGCAAAAAATCTTGGAATTACTTTGTTTTCCCTCCATAGACTGTTTTTTCTAAAGCACTTCTACTGTGCTGAATTCTATTTTTAGACTTATTATTGGGATATTTATTTCAAAAACAAATAACCTAACACTATCTTTCCACAAAGGGATCTATCTGCTAAACTTTTAGTTTGTATCCAAGCAAAATTTTAATTATTTATTTTTATTAAAGTTCCTTTAAATATGCATCTAAATATATCATTTCGATTTAACTGCAATTAATGTATAAATATTAAATAAGAAAATTGCTTTAAATATATATATATATATATATANATTTGCTATAATTATAAAATCTGAATTTTATGTGTACTACATATTTTATTTTGAATAAGTAATTGATGAAAATAAAAGAAAGAAGATATTTGATAAAAAGTTTAGAACGGAGATAAAGAGTGATAAACTTTAAAACAGTGATGTCTTTTCTCCGAGGGGAAAAAACTACCTAATAAAATAGTTTTCTTTCTATCTACAGAGAAGAAATGCAAAATATTTCTTTGATGAAGGGAACATCAAATTTTAAAACAATTAAAATAAGTTAATAATCGTAATGTAGTTTAGTTAACAGTGTTAACTTTAAAGTTAATTTCTACACTATTTTTAATTAAGTGAAAGCTGAAAAACAATATTGGGATGAAGAAAATAATTATGGATTCTCAACACTAGATTGCCCAAGGAAGTCATTTTGACTGCTTTAATTTCAATTAGAAAAACGATGATGTATTATAATGACACAATTTCTTAGAATTTTGTGACTTTTTGTACAACATGTAATTTTTTTTATTGTTAATATTTACTAATAACTTGTTACATAACTAAATAATATGGAAAATTNTCAATTAGAAAAACAATGATGTATATAATAACACAATTTCTTAGAATATTGTGACTTTTTGTACAACATGTAATTTTTTTTATTGTTAATATTTACTAATAACTTGTTACATAACTAAATAATATAAAAAATTAATTTGAAACAAATTTCTTTACAAATTATTTATTCTTTCACAATCCAGTCATTTTGACTGATTTTGGGCGCTGTAGGTAAGTTTCTGTCTTTCTAGTGTTAATCGTATTGTTTTATAATACTGATAAATTATAATTATGCTAATTAAAAGTAAGAAATGTCTTTTACTTTACCAGTTTGTCCTAGGCATTGTAAACAATGCTGAGACAATGTGAGGAATTTTAAATCATTTTATACCTTAATGATTAATTTTCGGCATTGTACACAATGTAAGAACTTTTATTGTATAATTACATAAGTTATGGTATTATAGGCGTGTTTTGCTTTTTACTGATCAGATTAAAAATGTTTATCTAGATCTATTATTAAGCTAGATTATAATCATAAGAGATTATAATCGCAAAAGATTAACTTTTGTTTATCTAGATTATAATCTTAATCGATAACTAGAATCTTTAATAGATCCAGATAGTTGTATTAATAGATCTATTCATAGAATTATCTACATCTATTAAAGATAAGATACTATTATGATTTATCTAGAATCTTATCTTTGCCCTAAAAGCAAAAACAATTAGTGATCTTCTAGTATTACTGGTTGTTGAGTTTGGGGTAATGGAACTTTTTCACTGCTTTTTATAGTTATAATAATTAAAATAAAGCTGCACTATCTGGCCAAAACTATCCGGATGCCCAGTGGCGTGAACTTAGAGCGCCCTGTGGCACATATTAATATGATGTCAATCCCCCTTTGGCATCGATGATAGCCTTCACGCACCTTGGAAGACTTTCCACCAGTTTTTGATAGGACTTCCATGACAGCTGAAGTGAGTGCTTTCAGTGGCTGGCTACGTAATCTGCATTCTAATTTGTCCCAAAGGTGTTCTGTGGGATTTAGATCGGGGGGTCTGAGAAGGCCAGTTTTTGAACACCCATTTTGTCAAACCACGTATGTGCAAGCCTCCGTGCCTGCTGGAAGAGAAAACGGCTGAAATATTACATAGAGTTGGGAGTGCAGAATGTCCACATGCACCTTCAAGGGGTAGAGCCTTCCAATGAGGTGAACCATGTTCGAATCTCATAGAGGGCCGGTTGATACAAATTCGCATCCGGGTTACGCCGACCACAGTGCTACCGTGAAATATCCTCATTGGTAGACGGATCATGGGTTAGTCCCTTAGAGCCGTCAAATTAACCATAGAAGGTTCTCGTGGTCTTCCTATCCATCAAAAAGTCCTCCTCGAAGGCTAAGTTCTCCCAATACTTGTTCCAGGAGTTCCCTTGTCTTCTGGATTGTGTTTAAAATGACAAGGCTACAGAGTTAAACATAAATAGTAAACTCAAAAATTGGGTAGGCTGATCAAGGACGATTATAAAATAAATGGGTGGGTCGGGATATCCTGGCTGGTAGGGCGCTGGGCCCATGTCCAGGAGATCGTCGGTTCGATCCGAGCCGGCACGAGACTCCCCGTGTAGTAAATGGGGACTGATGCTTGTTGAATCTGACAAGTCACAAATTCCTCCATGTTCCCATAACAAATCATACCTCTGGAGGTACTGATCCAGAACATTAGTAGTCACAAACCCAAAAATTGGGTCGGCTGTTCGACGAAGGTCGTAGAAGACCGAACCACGAGAATAACCTCTACACCATTATGCTTTAACCACCATAACAAACTGGTTACTTTTGCCCAGATAGTGTCACATCCATAGTAATGTTTCTTTCATGACTCAATAAGTTTTTATCCTTCAGGCTTTCAAAATCCAGATGCTACAAATGATATGTTACTATGCAAAATCTGTATGGATGGAGAGAGGGAAGTTGTGTTTCAGCCGTGCGGTCACTTAATATCGTGTGAGAAATGTGCCGAGTTAATCACAAGATGTCCTCTGTGTCGCAAAAATATCGAAAGCAGAATGAGAACGTTTTTGAGTTAAAAAGTTTTTTCCTGATAAATTTACAGTTAAATGACTTTTGACACAAATTGATAAAGGGATGAACCCTTTTTTAATTTTGTATGTAATTAATAATAAGTAAGTGTGATTATTTTAATATCAAAATACTTATAAAACTTCTAACAAAATTACCACAAATTTTGATTGACTCTGATTTTCATTCTTTTGAAAAAGGGAGGATTTCTGTATTGGTACCGCCCCCATCAAAATTGGCAACTTCCATGGAGTAGAACAAAGAGTAACTAACAAAATCAGAGTAGGGGGTTAACTCAAGGGATAAAACTTATGCCGACCCACAGGAAAATCCCTACTTATTATCCCAGTGGCAGAATCGCTGCGAGATGGTCGTAGATTGTTATAGTTCTTGCAGAAAGATTTTTCTTTTGAAGTAGTGAAAAATTTTAGTTTTCTTTTCAACAGAAAACTAAAATTGATAGTCACTTTTAGATAATCACTTTTTGATGCGCTCAATTTACACCGATAGTATCGTAAGTCGATGTAATGTTTCGATTGTATTTTCGCCAGTTATTGATATTGATTATCATGTGGTTTTTAAATATAATATATTTCAAACAATATGGAAAATTTGAATATTGCATTTCATTATTCACTTTTTTACGCAATAATTTTATTGAATTTTTGCCCGTTATTGCTTTAGATGTCTCCATTATTTTTAAATAGTTTTTTTTTTACACTATATTATTTATTACAACTACCTGATCTCGAAACGAAACACGCATTTGAGGAGTACGATTCATGTGATTTTGTCATCCATCTTTTTAGCGTCAATTACTACTACGGATTTCATGATTTTTTATTATTTTGTTTATTGTGATGATTATTTACAAAATAATTTGTAAATGATCATCTAAGAAGAAAATAATTTGTTCAGCCAACAAAATGCAAGAATATCTCCCATAGTATTAAAATGAAAAATCATTACATATTAAATGAAATGATACAGTTTTTTTTTTAATGTAAACTGCGCTTTTGTAAGTTTAAATTAGAAACAAATATTTGTTTTTATTAAAAGTATCTTGCAGAAAGATATTGTTAAAGAGTTTAGTCGCAAATAGCTCGAATAAATTCTGCCACTGGGCTTATTATTAATTTTGCAAGTTAAAAACCCCATAACGTTGGTAAGTGGGGGGAACAGGTACTGATGCTGAAATAAACTCTTACTATAGTTCATTCACCAGGAGTTGGCACCGCCTTCATCACATGGTATCTGAGATGATTCTATTTCGTTATTTTTGGGATGCGAACAAACCTGAACAAGGTAGCTATTTAGAGATTGTATGACAAAAATATTAATTACGCAATCTTTGTGTCCACTTTTTTAACATTTGCTGATACTTCTCTCTTTTGAGTGAATAGTTCGTCCTTTTTCAGATATTTTGCTGGGATAACAGCAGTTTTTAAATTTAAAATATATTTAATTAGCTAGATTAACGAAAAGGTATAATAGCAGTAAGCGAGTATATAGCAGTAAGCAACTGAAAAGGAATTTACTGTTTGGGGTTGTCTCAATTTTCTCCTCTTACTCCCTTTCTGAAATGAAATCTGCATCCGAGGAGGTGGCGTCCAGTGCCAACTTCTGGTGAACGAACTATATTTGTTTTTTAGAAATAATTAGCCCAAAATGTACAATCGTATCAAAAGAAAATAGGGTGATCTTTAGTCTTAAGAGAACGCCATAGCGTGGGAGAAACTTTTCATTGCAAATTTTCTTTCACCTTCATTACTAATTTAAAAGAAAGAAAAACTGAGTACACACAATTTAGAGTAAGCAATAAAGTTTAAATTGCTGAAAAAATTATATTGAAATATCAAAATGCACACAAATTATTGGAAGAGAACTTCCCCGTCTTGTAATCCTAAGTTCTCCTATTTTATTTTCATTTGCATGTTTCAAAATTTTCTTTTTAGTGTTTTAAACTTCATGGTTTATTCTAGGATTGTCTGTACTCATTTTTTCTATACTTAAAATTAGTAATGGAGGTGAATGAGATCATGCAACGAAAATTTTCTCCCATGATATAGCGTCCTTTTAAAGTAGTAACACAAAGTACAATATGTAAAGCACACAATTTTCTTTTTAACTGTTATTTTTGCTTAACATGTTTTATTATGCCATTATGCACATTTGCATAGCTTTTAGTACATAAACTTTAGAGACCTAAACACCAATTATACTATATAAAAAGAAATTTAAATCCTTTAGTAAATCAATTATAATCATGTTCTTTTGGTTAAAAAGTACATAAAATTGGTTGAAAAATGTAAATTAGTGATAATCTTAAAAAATAAAAAAAGAATGTTTCTGGCAGACTGCTTAGCATTCTACTCAAAGAAATGTGATTGAAATTATGTGTATATAATGTTTGAGCCTAGTCTTTTTCCCTGATGTTTCCTAAAAATATAATGTGGAAAACTATGTAAATAATGTAAAAGAGTATACTTTGTAACAAATAAAGTAAAATTGTGACTGAATGCGCATATAAAGGCACAAAAATGGACATAGTTTAGTTTTATATATATTTATAAAAAAAAATTTCAATATCCACTCCCACATCCCCGAAGAAAACTGTATTGAAATTCTGGGTTTTAATCCTGAGGAAGTTTTTTGTTTACATAACCTAAACTATAGCATGTCCTTTTCTGTACCTTTATGACTTATGTTGTTTTGTTTTATACATAAGTAAATAGTGTTCTTTTTTTTTCTTCTTCAAATTTTCAGAAATAATATCTTTAAGATTAAAGTACAGTAGACAGACTATCTAATATCCACTGTCTATTTATAATTTAAACTAACAATTGTCAATTGCATTAAAATAATGTTTTTTTGTTAGTATAAAACATAAAGCTGTGCCCTATTTCATAAACTAACATATATACTAAATATTCGAGAACTTTTTTTTTCAGTAATTATCTATTCGTAAATTAATGTCTTTGTTAGAAACTTAAATTTTAACAGTTTCTAATGCAGGGTGTGCAGCATTTTTAAAAAGTGCTTACTTATTTTTGATTTACATTTTTTAAGAGCCCATAAAGGTGCTTTTTTTTGTTCAGGGTTTGTAAAAAGTGCTTAATTTTCTATCTTTAAAAAAAATTTATATATATATACAGGGTGTTTCATATTGAATGGGACAAAAAAAAAAGAAAACATGATTGTAAACGTTATAATTAATATATTTAGAAAATTTAAATTTACTTAAAAACTACATATATTCAAGTTTCTACAGGTGTTCAATATGTGCCCCTCCGGTGACACGACAAATGTCTACACGGTAATCAAGCTCCTGCCATACTCGTGATAGCATATCCCCTGTGATGGAGTTTCTTATCGTCCTGGGCTTTTGTTCTTGCATAAGCACCCGGTATCCTGGAACTGCTTCACCTACCTGCTTATGTTATGCGGTGGTTCTTTATGAAATTTCGTGCGAAAATGTCTTTGCACAACAGTTACCGAGGAGGTTTTGGCATATTCGAAAACGCAGTACACTTTCTCCTGCATGGATGACATTTTGTTTAACAGCGCCTCTAGCGGCGAGTCCGTCATTCGATGATTTTTCCCTGTTGCCAAATAAAACTTGTATAATTGTAGTTGCAGAATAAATTTGTTTCGGCTGAATAAATCCATTATGGCGGTCACACTGCGCTATTCTTTTTGTCCCATTCAATATGAAACACCCTTCTTTGCAGTGTCGATTGTCCTTCTAAATTACAAAAATTTCTTTGCAATTTTTTCTGCAATATTTATCAGAAACTAGTTATTTTATCATGATTATGTACAGTTTTTGAAAATTATTGATTTTACGCTTATAAATTAAGAACTTTAAACGATAGAAACTTTATTACTGCACATATCCTAACTATGATTTTTTTTTTTTTTGTTTTGGAAAGAGATTAAAAATATTTTTTTAGTGCTTTAAAGTGCTTTTTTTTTGTTGAAAAATTTAGCTACACACCCTGATAAAGTATGCTGTGCTCTGTTTTACAAACTAATATATACACTAATTATCTAGACTTTTTTATACAGTAATTATTCATTCATAAATTAATGTCTTTGTTAGAATCTTAAATTTTTACAGTTTCTAATGTGTTGAATTCAGCACAGTGCATTGTTAGAACCAAGGAGTCTAAATCAAAGAAAGTTTTGTAGGTGGTGGAAAAATGTGCTTGATTCTTAGTCTTACAGATTTAAAAAAGAAACACAGTTTTCGATATTTATGAAAATTATTTAGACTACTATTTTTAATTGGTGTGTGAACAAAAAATATTTCTCAAATGAGCATTGTGACAAACATTTAAATTGTAACTTACCATAAACTTAATTTATCAATTTTGAATGTTTTTGAGCTTACCCTAGCAGCAAAATAACTTGGGCCCTCACTGGAGAATCTTGGCTTAATAAGGGTTGAAAGGGCCGTGGCTCTATGTAGGCCAATATTGGTCCCTCGGTGCATATGAGCCAATTATTTACCCGACTGGGGCAAAGGTGAAATTGTTGCTAGGGTATGTTTGATTGAACGATTGAAAAAGAACATCAATTCCAAAATCATGATATTGATGTCTGGCTTTCCTCTTTATAACAGTTTTGTACAAGTATATTTTGTAAAATTTATAATATGAAATGTACTTTTAAATAAAATAATTTTAACTGCACATATAAATGAAAATTAGTATTTACTTAGCATTGGTGTTAATATTTTTCGAAGGGTGAGTAAATTTTAATAGAGAATAGGTAAAATTTATTCATTGAAAAAAAAAAAATCTGGTTTTAGAATCAGTGTCCACTACAGACTCCACAGCTGTTAGATTTTAGGCTTCCATGTTCATGTTAAGAAGAAAAAAGATAAATTGGTTCAGATAATGATAATAAATTATGTCATATTAGATAGGTGTGCATGAAATGTTTAATTTTTGAGTCAATGTATATAACTACCTTTTTTCAATCTCGCAGTGGGCTGATGGTAAAGATCCCAGCAGAACACCAAAGGTAAGCATCACTGTCTTGCAGTCAGTAAGCAGGTGGGTGATAAGTTTGATCAATCCGCGTAGGGAATCGGCGTCATAAAACTCTAAATAGTAATTTTTTGTAATAGCTTTTTTATATTTAATAAGGAATTTTTTTCCAAGCTTAATTTTCTATGTACCCAAAAATCTAATTTTTACAAGCACTGCTTCTATGAATATAAAAACTATTTGGCCAATCTGCTCAAAACACCAAATTTATTTGTTCGAAAACCCATTTTTTCTGCTCCAAATTGAGTATTCTGCAGCATGCAGGTATATATTCTTGTCGAGGTATAAAGAAAACTATTTTAAAAATATATTATTTAATTTCACTTTAAAGCTTTTAAAAATACTCTGTTGTGTAAATATTTGAATTATTTTGTGGTACCAATGGATAACTACACTTTCTTTAGTATTGGTTTTGTTAATTTCTTATAACTTTTCAAGTGAAATGCTTTGTGATCTTAACACATTTTCGTTATGTAATATTAATTACTATATTGAAAATTCCATAGCTTATTTATTTGAATAATTATTTAAAAAAATGATTGACTTAAATTGGGTCGTAAATTGGATTGCAATAAAGATTTATATGTATGGCGAAAGTTTAAAAATATGCCAAATTACCTCACCATAGAAGGGGAAATAACTGATAACAACCGTAAAGAAACTGAATGAATGACAAGACAGGAAAACATGGGTCTGGTTCATTTCATCGATAGTCACTTCATCGACAGGCCATTTCATCGACGGGGTCATTTCGTCGACAAGTCATTTCTTCGACAGCGTCATATCTTCGACAAGTTATTTCGTCGACAGGGTCATTTCGTTGATAGTGTCATACGTAATTCTGAAACTATTTTAGAGATTTAATCTAAATATTTCATTATTAATTAGAAAAATGCACTTATTTAATTTTATACTAAAGTAAAATTCTTTATGGCTGTTTATTGTTCCAATTGCACTAAAAGAAGTTCGCTTTTTAAATTAATTAATAGGTAGTTGCGAAGCTTTTATACGGTTGATGTATCGAAATCTACTTTTCTATATCTAAATCGTAATAGCTCGACACTTATTTTTAGGATAGGTAAGGATTGTCTTCAGAACATTACCAAGCATGATATCCGGACCGTGGTTACAGTTAATATAGTGTGACGTTAACAATCAAATTGTTTTTAATATCAAATCAAATTAATAAAATATATTTTTAGAATTAAAAGTAATAAAAATATATTACAATGAAAATTTAGACACTATTTCAAGGAGAGGAAAGCTAAATTTATTGCTGTAAAAATTTTCAACATTTTTACATAAATTTTAACAAAAACATAGACATCAGTCGAATTCTCACAGAAATGAAAATAATCATAGACCTAATTATTATATCTGCTTAAGTAGAAAAAAAATTCTAGGTTTTTTATGATGGAAAAGTAATTTCTTAATGTTCACTTTAATTGCAATTTTAAACTTTTTGTTCAGCATCTTTAACATTAGGACAGGAATATGCGTATTCGAACAATCGAATTGAGTCTTAGTTTCGTTACTACTATTAGAGATTTCGAAGAACAATAGGAACACAAGCTTGATGTTTAGGTATTTACCGAGGCGGTTGTAGATTCCCACAATATTTAAAGTGCTACTCACCTTACCAAAATTGTTTAGAAGCACGGGCGTAACGTTGCAAGCCTGTTAGTGTTTGGTCTTCACAAAATATGTTTTTTCTATGAATAGTGAATTTAATAATAGTATTAATTATTCAATTCTAATCTAATACTATCAAATTATACTATTTTTGAATTATACTATTATTATAATTAAATAATAATAGT